GGGTCGCTAGTTCAATTCCCAGTCAGGGCACATGGCTGCGTTGCAGGCTAGGTCTCCAGTGGGGGCCATGTGAGAGGCAACCACACATTGATGTTCCTCTCCCTTTCTTTCTCCCTCTCTAAAAATAAATAAATACAAATCTTAAAAAAAAATGTTTTTTTTTCTGAAAAAGTAATCTCCAGGTTTCAATGGCAAATTCTACCAAATATTTAAGGCAGAAATAACCCCAGTTTTATACAATTTTTTTTTTTTTTCAGAAAATAGAAGAGCAGAAACATTTCTCTCCTTTTTTGAGGCCAGCCTTACCTGATACCTCTACCAGACAAAAACAGCAGCAGAAGACGATAGAGCAGTAGCTCTTATGAACACAGGCAGAGAGATCATCAACAAAGAATTAGCAATTTTAATTCAGTGAAAATAAAAAGGAAAATACACCATGACCACGTGGGGTTTATTATGTGACTTCAAGGCCATTCAAGATTTGAAAATCAATGAATGTAATTACCCTATTAATAGCCAAATAAGAAAAAGCACATGATCATATTAGTGCACAATAGTATTTCATAAAATTCAATATCATTCATGTTATAAACTCTCACCATACTAGAAGATGAAGGGAACTTCCTCAATATGATAAAAGGCACCTACAAAAAATCTTAGAAGAGATTTTCAGAACCAAGAACAAGATTACTCAAGAGCTGAGGATCTTGAGAAGAGGAGCCACATTGAAATTTGTACCAGTTTTATTTAAAACAGAAGCAAATCAAACTGTTGGTATTTTTTAAAAGTTTACAGAAAAAAGCATTTCTCCTAAGGTGTTACTCTTTCACTAAGCACTGCAAAGTACCTTAATTAAGTCTTGAGATACTAATAGCCCTAGAAGCAACTCATAAAATGATGTTTACTTGGGAGCATAAACTGGAAGGACATTTTGGGAGGGCAATTTGAAAATCCTCTGCAGAAGCCTAACATGAATGCCCACTGACCAAGAATTCCAGTTACAGAAGTTTATCTTCAGAAAATGGTAATGACAAAAATACAAACATGCTCATTACAATGTTGTGTATGATAAAAAAAGAAAAAAACTGGAAAGAGTCTGAATATCCAACAATGTGAAGTTGATCAAGTACATTGTGGTTCATCATACTTTGGAACAGTGCATGGCCATAAAAAGTTTAAAAATTATATCAAAAAGTTATGTATGATACAGAAAAATATTCACCGTATGTTGCTGAGGGACAATGCAAGTTATAAAATTGTGGCATTATATTATCTCATTTCTGCTTAAAATATGTTTATGCACAAAACTATCTGGATGGGTATACACATGTATAAATTAATAGTATTTATTATTGAGTTTTTAATCACAGGTGATTTTTACTTACTTTTTTTTTGAGGAGTCTGTATTCTGGTTTCCCACAGTAAACATATTTTCCTTATATAATAAAAATGTTAAAATGTTTACTGGAGGCAACCATGTAATTGTTAGTGTTTTTCTGACTCATAAAACTGACTACTGTAGGTACTGTGGAGAGCGGTGGTGGGGAGAGAGGGAGAGGAAGAGGGAGGCAGGCAGACAGACCTCCCTTGTGTGCCATTTTTCATGTACATTTGTTGTAAAGTTTTAGGTTAATCTTAGATGTAACTATCTGGAAACAATTTTTAATGGAACATAGTAGTGAATAGATAAGGTTCACAGGATCGCAATATAGTCGCATAGATTTAATTTTTCTCCTTTCCTTGGAATGCTGGTTTTGTTTCGTAAGGAGCAGGTGGCTTTCTTTTTTTAAGTCTCTCCACTGCCTTGTCAGACACAGCTCTCTCAGAACTTTTTTGGGAGCTAACCAAGTTTTATCTAAACAAACCCAAAATGACATATGGACTTCATCCACATGGTCATATGAATCCTTTGGCTGATGACTCCAGCCATGTATCTAATTGGTTTTATAAAATCCATGCTCGAGAAGGATTCTATACGAGGGTGTAATGCTGTGGGGAGAAGGAATGTAGTGGCGAATAGACCCGAGCTGCTACGCTGGAATCTGGTGCCGCCACTGCCACCAGGCATAGGCAGTGTATATCCCCACGAAGGGGAGAATCCTAATAATGTCGAGTGAAAAGTTTCTATCATGCATTTCAGCTTAGGCCTACTAATAACACTTCTTTAAATGCCTTGTTAGACAGTGAAATCTGGGAATAATTATCAAACACCATATATAGTGTTTATAATAGAGTCGTATTTCTTCTCTTTCTCTCCCCATCCCACCTTTTTTTTTTTTTGCATAAAAAATAGAATGCTGCTGAATGGTACCCAAATGTCTGTTGTACACCATGCCAATACAGCAGCCCAGCCAAAAATGTGAATAGAACCATTCGCCAAGCAAAAGAAAACATAACAAATTGGTAATGGTTTCTATCTTGACAGAAAACGAAAATGATCCTTCAATGTGTGGTCACTCATGCGGACACATAAAAATGTCTCAGAAGCAATCATTTTGCCTCAGATAACAGACCCTGACAGGGCAGGACAGCACGGGCTGACTTTCACTTCTGAGAAGAGCGGCGACCGTGACCTACCAGATACTCTGGGAGCCATGTAATTTATGCATAACACACACGCACATGCCATACACTCATAATATTTGCTATAGATCATTCCGAATATAAGACTTCTTTTCTGAGTGGGATATACTTTATGAGAGATGATCTAAATCTCTAGAGATTTGATAAAGCTGAACTGGTTTATTTATGAACAGAAATGATGTTGTTGGTTATAAGGTTACAACATTTCAATGGCCTATATTGCAATAAAAGGGCATTATATAAGGGTCCTGGGTACCAAATATGGTTCTGTATAGTGCCTTGGATACTGAAGTTACTTTATGAGTTGTCAGATAAACAAATACCCAAAAAATGTGCAGGTACATAGTGTATGGTTCTGATTTTCTGTTTAGGAAACGGCAATTAAAAGTAGAAATGAGCCCCCTGAAGACATAGTGATGGTTCCTTCAACACATTTCCCTTCCCTTTACCACTTATTTTTGTTCTCCAAGAACTGGCCAACATCACTGACCAGTGAGTTTTCCCCTTATCTAGAGCAGTTTTCCCATTTGTTTAATTTTTTAATGAGCATGTTAGAATAGTGATTGCACTGTGAAATCACATCAAAAACAAGAACGACACTGTTAAAAACACTAATTGATACCTGAAGCTAATGAGGAATTCAGAATGAGAAAATACTGAATCAAAGAGGCTAGGAAGAACCTTGGGAGTTAAAAGTCCTTGCTGAGTTGAAAGTAAATTTGAGTTCTATAGGTTGTGAGTTTCAAATGGAACTTCTGGGTTTAAATTTGTTGGTGACTTTCCTGTTCAATAAAAATGGACTTAAATGGCTTGTAAAAAGGTTAAAAAAACTTATTGGGCATCAAGCTGCTCTTACAAAACACCCTCTTGAAGAGTTAAGTGTAAATGAATCAGAAACACATGGATCATATTTCCTTAAGAAATGTGTACGGACTCAAAAATAAGGGGATGAGGACTTGGTAAAACATTTGTGTGTGCGTGTGTGTGTGTGTGTGTGTGTGTGTGTGTGTGTGTGGTGGCTGAATCCAAAGCATTTAAAAGATATTTTGAGGCAGTCAAGGAATCCAGAAGAGAACCAGACCTGTGCAGTCACACAAAAAACAGAAGTTCCCCGCTGTGCAGTGTGCACTTATCTCTACGGGCCCATCAACGCTCCCGGGCCTTCGCCTTTGGCACAGAACTGTGGGAGGAGCCAGCTTCTGTCTTTAAGCAACTTAGAAGTTAAGTATAAATAAATATGTAAGTAATACAAACCTATTAAGAGAGACCCAGGGTTTTACAAAAAATCTGGCATCATAACCCAGATCACACAGAAACTGTATATAGGTAAATACACAAGGACTTTTAGGGTCCCAGGGTAGGCAGGATTCATGCCATTCAAACCATCATCCCCTTGGCCCTCTTGATTAAAGTTATATATCGTCGCCGAGTCTTGCTTGCTTAAATGTTTTCTTAATGAGTGTTTTTATGTCTTTTTTTAATGTGTGTCTCAGCCCTCTTTCCTCCACCCTCTGGATTTGTGAGTGCTCAACAAATCTTGCTGACTGGCTTCCTGGAGGATGGGAGTGTTGAACAGAGTTTTGAAATAGGGGAGAGATACTGTTTGGCAGAGAGGAGTGAGCTATGATTCTGGGTTTGGGTAATGGCACCTGGGACAATTTAGAGGCTCCAAGGGTGAGTCATGCGTGGGGGTGACCCACAGGCTTGCTCGCAGCGATGCGCCCCAGCCAGCCTGCAGTGGGAGACGGAGGCAGTTAGGTGTGGGGAGGCCTAATCTACTGCTTGTGAAGTCAACCGAAAGGCAGAGGAGTGAGTGCGATAAGGAAAAGCACAATTCTTACTCTTTCTTTTATTTTGCCAATATAGGATAAAGTGCTAAGCACAGGATAAAGTCATTAATTCCTTTATTTCTTATCAGTGTTTTAAGCAGCTGAAAAGTATCCAAAGATAAAAATAAGTTAATTATGCATGCATTGCTAGGATCCTGTAGGTCATAAATTTGAAGAGGAACTTAGTACGATTATGAAAGGGATTACTGAGCTCTGAAATACTGGTCAGAAAGTATGAAAAATTAATGATTTAGAACCTTTGAAGGCTATTTTTTTAGTTGTTTAATGTGGGTTTTATCTTGACCATGATATTAGAAAGTTATTTAAGGCAGGGGCAGTGTCATGTAATTCTTGTGGATTCTGCACTGGCCAGTGCAATGCTGGCAACACACCACATGCTCAATACACGCTTCCCCGAGGGAAGTGAGGTCAAGGGTGCTGAGGCCCTGTGACAGTGAGGGTGTGGCTGAAGGTCTAGTCTGAAGAGAAAAACACCCCGGATGATGTAGTGGAAATGCCCTAACAGCGTAGTGTCTCTGCTCTGAGCCTAGTTGTTCGTAGTGAATACACAGAAATCAGTACCCTTACCATCCTTCATCGTCTTCTACTTCCACTTCAGAAATGTTACTTTCAGGAGTTTCAGCAATTGCTTGCGTGAGTTTTGATCTAAACTGGTTCAGCAGCGCAAGGGTCTGAAAGAAGAATAAGACTGCTAAATTTTCTGATAAGGAGAAATGTAATTTTAGAAGACACACTTACATTAGTTAGAAAAAACATGTCCTACCTGAATAAATGTTTAGTTTTGAAGGGAAATAATGTAGAACTGCCTTCCAGCTGCAATAGTGATTGACATTCACAAATCCTGACATCACCCTCTGTGCATTCGCACTGATATTTTACCTCAGAGATACAGGGCTACTTTCTTACTTGGGGAACATAAATTTGCTTATATAGAAGACATTTAAATTTTAAAATGCGTGCTTACTATCCATAGCTAACTTTTTAATGTCCACAAGACAGGGTGGTGCTTCATTAAGACATGTAAAATAAAAAACAAAACACCAACAAGTAGTGTATTTTCACTGAACAACTTTCTAAAAATGTAAACATATCAATGTTGGGAAAGGCAAAATAAATATTTTTTTTATTACCAGAACACATTAACTGCTGTAAGATGGGTAAAATGAAGTGGTATCTTTAGAAAGCTCTCAATATGTACTAGAAACTTCAGAGGATCATTCCCTTTGCTTCGATAACTCCAACCCTGGGAACATATGCAGAAAAATAATCTAAAACACAGGAAATGGCTTACACAGAAGACGTGCACTACAGCAGCAGTCACTCGAGTGGGAAATGGAAACGTGAGATGTGTATCAATAAAGGTCTACACACATTTTGGTAAAAAGTAATGACTATGCCATTACATTCATTAAAAATTGTATACATGAAGCATTACACTCTATTGTTAAGTGAAAAAAGTAGGATACAGATATCAAGTGGAGTATGTTTTCTAAAAAGGGGACCGTTCCTCTGAGTCTCACTGGGCCCCTGCGCCTCTCTCGGGGGAGAGGAAATGCAGAGCGCTCACAGCTCGGAGACCACGCTGTCTCCCGGCTGCACGCTAACCGTGTGCTCCAGAACGTGAGCATAGAACATAAGCTTGCAAAAAGTTGTATTCTGCAGCTTCAAAGAGTTTATAATTAGGAAAATGGATTAAATACTATACATATATAAAAACTAAGTATCTAATAAAACACAGATACATGGAACTCAGTGCTAAAATAGATTTTGTAGGGAAAAAGTTGTGTTATAGCTCAACCTGTAAATAACAGGTACAAGAAGGAGTTCCAGTGAACTGCTAGGCTCCAGAATTTCCCTAGCAACTGTCATTGAGACCACAGCTCACGAGAAAATTAAGTAGGTTTTGTTGGTGTAGAACCTAAACTCAATAAAGACAGGTGCTGACAAAATAGGAAAAAAGGCAATTATTGCTAACAAATGCTAGTGAGATGTGCCTTGTATGTTTCTATAACATTTTTAAACAAGATTTTATTTATTTATTTTGAGAGAGAGAGGGAGGGAGAAAGAGAGAGGGAGAGAGAAACATCAATGTGCGGTTGCTGGGGGTCATGGTCTGCAACCCAGGCATGTACTCTGACTGGGAATCGAACCTGCGACACTTTGATTCTCAGCCTGCGCTCAATCCACTGAGCTATGCCAGCCAGGGTCTGTAACATTTTTTAAAAGATTTTATTTATTTACTTCTAGAGAGAGGGGAAGGGAAGGAGAGAGAGGGAGAGAAATATCAATGTATGGTTGCCTCTTGCATGCCCCCTACTGGGGACCTGGCCTGCAACCCAGGCATGTGCCCTGACTGGGAATCGAACCTGGACCCTTTGGTTTGTGGGCCCGCGTTCGATCCACTGAGCTACACCAGCCAGGGCTGTTTCTGCAACATTTAATGCCCGGACAACAACGGGAAATATGCATGTTACCATGATGCAGAGTGAGATGAGTTTGCGAGAAAAACTATAAATTCCTGTAGAAGATCCTCACAGGCATTCCAAGGGCTGCCTGGTATGTTAGGGTTTAGATATTTGACTCATTTCTAGGGTAGTAATTATAGGATTAAGTTCTTCAAACAATGTTGACTGATAAAGAATTCTTTGTTTTTAAATCTTATTCATAAAAACAAATTTTTTTGCTTATAAACTTTTATTGTATTTAATTTACTTTAAAATAAGAAAAAGGTTTATCGTAGAACTATTAGAAAGTAAAGAGAAGCAAAACAAAAATATCTATTATACTACTACGCAGAACAACCACTGTTGATATTTTGGTATATCCTTCAAGCATTTTATGTGTTTTTTTGTGTGTATGTGCTTATGTACTTAGATCTATATTACGTAAACATATATCTTCCTATGCACATCTGTCTCTTACGTATAGGTAAATCTTGTCAACTTTTAATGGCGGATTTTTGTACACTTGGAAATCTCTTTTCTGAGGGCATAAATAAAAATGAAAACAAAGGAGACTTCTTAGTGAAATGAAATGAAATTTTAAAACTTCCTAGCAAATTACACTAGACCTGGATCTTTTTTCTTGAGTTGAAAGTGGCAAGGTGGTCTGTTTTCAGAGCCAGTCAATATGCTACTGGCATTTCCTCAAAGACAGAGGCTGTGACAAACAAAAACCATCCTCTTGGCCTTGCTTAGCGTCTCCTACACTCAAGATTGAGCTTTCTTTAGCTGCATTCTAAAGGCAAGAGAACCCACTAGGCAGAAAAGCAAACATCACAAAAACGATGGGGTACAATATGGGGTGAAGAAGATGGGAGCTGCATGGAGGCATTTCTGATTGGCATCCAGAGGGGAATTTGTCCCCTGCCTTTAGCTGAAGGGTGAATGGCCAACCACTAATAGCACAGCTCTTCAGCACAGCTAGAGTCTTCCCAGCATGGAGAGGCTGATTTGAAGGGATCCTGCCTTGGGAGATGTTGTGCAAGCATAACTACACACAAGAGCCTCTCAGATGGCCTCCGAGTCTCCAGTCCTGCCCTGGGTCCAGTCTATTCTCCTGACTGCAGCCAGGTTGGAGGGATCTTCTCAAATTGCAAATGAGATCATTATACCTCCTTCCTTTGATGGCTGCCCACTGCCCGAAGGGTACTCTAAACTCCATATTAAGGCTCAAAAATACCTTCCTTGCATGAGTTAGCTTCTGCTTACTTCTCCAGCACCATCTCTCTCTTCCTCATTTTTGTTCCAGTCATACTTAACATCTTCTAGTTCTTTGCAAAGAGATCAAAGACTTGTCTTATGCTGTTCCTCCATCTAGCCACACATATCCTGTTCAACCTTCAAAGCTTGCAGTGCTTGCTGGGTTTTCTCTGACAAATCGTTTTCTCTGGGAGGCCTCCCCAGATTCTTAGGACATGTTAAGTCCTAGTATTACACCTTTACATAGTTCTCTGTACCTAAGCTGTCATAATGCTCACCCCCTTTTACTGGTATTACTGTATTTGCTCAACGGCTCTCTTCCCTGATAGCTCAGACAGGGCAGGGATATGTCCAACCCTGATCATCACCAAATACAGTGAGTAGTACATGGCAGATTATATTTTTTTCCTTTATTGAATCTAGATAGAGGGGAAGGAAGGGAGAAAGAGAGAGAAACATCGTTGTGAGAGAGAAACATTAATCAGTTGCCTCTTGCATGAGCTGAACTGGAGATCAAACCAGCAACCCAAGCACGTGCCCTGACCTGGAACAAAACCAGGGACCCTTCAATTTGCAGGATGACACCCAACCAAATGAGCTACAATGACCAGGGCATGGTAGGTTGTTAAATAATTATTTGCTATGAGGGAAAAAAGAGGAATGCATGAATAAAAGTGATGCTTAGCACCTTTGGTAGTATAGTGATTATAGCATGACTCCATGAACACAAGTTAATACTGTACTTTTTCTTAATTTTATTTGATGTTCCATTTCTTTTTTTTTCTTAAGACTTTATTTATTTCTTTTTAGACAGAGGGGAAGAGAGGGAGAAAGAAAGGGAGAGAAACACTGATGTGAGAGAGAAACATTAATCTGTTGCTTCTCATATGTGCCTTGACGGGGAACTGAACCTGCAACCCAGACATGTGTCCTGACCAGGGATTGAATCAGGGACCTTTTGCTTTGCGGGACAAAGCCCAACCAACTGAGACACACCAGTCAGAAGGATATTCCATTTCTTTTAAAAACTGTACAAGTTAGTTATCTGCAACTATAATTTATTATATTTGACTTCTTGTTGAACTTTCCCTATGATTATTTTCATGTTAAGTACTGATGGATGCTTTCTTTATCAGTAATTAGGTGTCATTTATAATATATATTCTATATTAGATAGATAGATAGATAGATAGATAGATAGATAGATAGACAGATATCAGCACCAAAGAGAAAAGATTTCAGTCTGCCCCCTAGCTTTTCAAACACGAAAGGCCTTTCGTGTTTGAAAAGCTAGGGAGATTTACTGAGTGCTGAGAGCTGCATGGTGTGCGTGGTGGACTCCCAAATCGTTCAGCTAGCTCCCTGTCTCTTTTTATTCTTGACTTCTTACAATCTTCCCATATTACTAACTTCAAGATACAGGAATTACCCGCAAAAAGCAGAACTTTGTAATATTACTTACAATAGAAATCAAGTGGTAGACCAGCTGCCTTATTATTTGTAGGCAATGTATTATACAATTTCAGGTGGAGCTGGCTAGTCAGCTTGTGAGATGCTTGGCCAGAAGAGAGCCCTTCATCATTTATAGTCACCTCTTCTCTATTTCATAAAACTCACTCAGAAAGTGGTTCTGCCCGAGTAGCTGATAACATGTGGGTTTACAAGATTCCTGTGCTTGATACGGGAGTACACGTTTAAAACCTGGAAGGTTTAGGCTTTTCATCTCCGATGTCTGGAAAGAACTCTGTCATCTGGACCTCTGCATGAGTGGCCAAGGTCCTGTCACCCCACCCTATAAACACATGCTTTTTCACTGCTAAGAGGTAGTGCTTCCCCTGACGTATAATCAAATTAGGCTCCAATAACAACACTTGAAGGCAACTGAAAGATAACAAATTACATATAAATTTAGGTTGTGAAATTACCTGGTCTTCCCGGGAAGTTCCCTTCTTTGGCTGCTGCTTCCTCAAAGCTTCATACTTTTGCTTTTCTCTTCTGTATTCTGCAACAGCACCACCCACAGCAGTGTCTTCCTCTGAAGAATAATAGATTATTCTTAGAATAAATGGTAAAAAGGCTCTGTGGTTTTCCTCCATTTAATTTAAAAACCAACCAGTAAACTCCACCAGCTTCACAACTATTTCCTAGATTAGAAAGTGACTGATGTTAACGTATTGACCAATTTTATGAACATCTTTATTGTATACTGTAATATTTTATCGTAGTACATACTGTACTATTGTAGTTGTTCTTATATTTGACTATAAAATCACCTATGTCACTTTTAAGATATTCCTGAAACTCAGCAATACTATTTTACATTATTCTCTTGCCTTATAAGATACATTCTTTCAATAATGATTTGCCAGTTTTGTTCTCCAGTGAAAACAACCACAGTTATAACAACAAATAACTTCAGCTTGATGGCATCATACTATATGCATATATCCAGCAAGTCAGTCAGTTTAGGACAACTACCAGAAGCAGGCAAAAATTATTTTCACTAAATTACAAATCAGAAAACAAATGTATGGATTTGATTCTGCAATAATTCCATATAAAGATTAACTGACATCTGGGTTCACATAATACAGTTTTGCTTCAAACACACAAGTCCTATACTAACATTATATAATACCTTATAGGTACATGTATTAATGAAAGTTTGTGACAAAAAAAAAAAAACCAACAACAAAAAAACAAACCCAAAACAAATAACCTATGTCTTCTCATCTTTGACTGGCAAACCAAGATGAGCAAGATGTAATCAAGAATGATAGTAATCTTTCTACTCAAGTCCAGGTTTATTGTTTGCCTCTTTGTCACCTAGTTTAAAGAATAGTATTAATGTGCAATGTATGTGTTAACAAGCAGCCATTTTTTCAACAGATATTCTAGTTAAAAAAATGTGTGAGCTAAGAAATAAGTAATCTTTTTATGGTTACCTAATATCATGATTTTGATGTTGGTCAGAGGGTACATGAGTATAATCGTGTGGGACAGGTGAGTTCTGGAGGTTTAGGGTACAGTAAGGTGACTGTAGTTAATACTATAGCATTGTATAGTTGAAATTTGCTAAGGAGTTGATGCTAAGTATTCCCACTGAAACCCCCTCACATACACAAATTAACTATATGAGGTGATACGAGAGTAATTAGCTTGATTGTGGTAACCATTTCACAATGGCTTCTCTATTTCTTGGTCTTCTGAGATAATTAATTGCCTGGTTTCAGGATGTCTTTTCCCTCCTCCTGTTTTAATTTCTACCCCAAATGTACAGGCAAACAGCTTGACAACAGCTGCAAGGTTGTCTGGTCTTTTGTTACATGCATCTGTGATACCAGGATTAAGCCTGCGAAGGTTACATCTGGGCCACATGAGAACTAATCCCACACCTTCACATGGCATGCACAACCAAATGAAATAATGTCTGCTGCACACACTCAACTGTGTAAAAAATCTGATCCAGTCTTCTATTTCTTAATGGGTATACCATATTAGTATAAAGTCCTTCTGTTTATAAATGTGTGATCAACTATGAATACTCACAATACATTCACTTTTCCTGTTTCCATTTCTCAGAAGTATATTCTGAGCTAATGTCCTTGGCTCTGTATTTCAGTTCTCTAACTCTCCGTTTACTTGTATCTAACCAGTTTTTGAGATATAAACTGTCTTTGCTTTTGATAATTATGTTTTTAAAAAATTTCTAGATTTTCCATTTGGTTCTTTTTCAAATTCACCCATTCTATTTGATAGTCTTAGTCTTTTACTATAATTTCTATTCCTTAAAAAATCTTTTACATTACTTAAAACACACTTGTTGTATTGTATTTTTCAGATTGTTCTTGGGATCCTTCTGTTATATCTTCTGACTCTCTCCCTAGAGTGGTCATTTCTCTATGTGCTTTCTAACTTTTAATTGTGAATTTATCTTCACTAGAGCTGCATCTCCATTATGCTCCATGGGAATCCTAGGCACCTAGGATTGTTTAGAGATTTCTACAAGGAACTTCTCCACTTGTTTCTACCAGGCAACTAAGGGGTTCTGTGGGTTCAGGGCCATTTTTCCCCAAGTTAATATCTTGGCTTAGAATTTCTGTACCACACAGGTAGTATACATTAAGACTTTGCAGCCATGCCTGGTAGAGATTTATTAGAGTTTTGATTTTGATTTTTTTATGTCAGACTTTTTTCCCCCCTCTCACATAGTTCTGAAAAATGACAAGCTTCTTTGTGGCCTGCCTGACCAGGTACACAGTTTTTCTAGTTTCTACCTCTTTTGACCCAAGGCCACACCTCTGTCCAAGTGTGAGGTTAAAACCCAGCTTCCAGCTACTAGAGCCTACATCTGGTTCCAATATCCCTCTGGGCAACTACAGTGCCAGTTTGCCCACTTAAAGCTCTGGTAATGCTTCCTCTTTGTTTTTGGTACCTAGGAAATTTCTTCTCTCTCTTGCTCTGTAGCTTAGCTGGGTACTTAAATGGGGATATATCACATTTTATCCAGCATTACTGTATATTTGTAGGAGAAGGAGGTTCTGTGTTAACTCACTCCATGTTGCCAGAACAGAAAGTAGCACATTTATTTCTCATGTGTTTGAATCCCTCTGAGTAAACAAAAATTGAATAAATGACTGGACAATTTTAGTCACATAAAACTGGCTAGTAAATTACACAAGGAATTTGAAAAATTCAGTTTGTCTAAGTACAGAGTGCTCTCAATGTACACTGGATGATAATTCATAAATTATAATGATGTAGCATGATGACTATTTGTCATTAACTGTAATTTCTATAAAACATATGTTAAATAAATAGCAATGAAGAACAGGGAAAAATTTTGCTCAGGATGTAGTATATGTTAGGCGCCAAGCAAAGGTGCTTTGATTATCCATGAAGACAGTATTTACAAACCTGTTTTAGAAATGAGGAAACAGAATTCAATCACAATTAGAATACAGTACGGCTGAGATTTCAGCCCAGGTCTGCATGATACTAAAGACCCACACTGTGTCCTACTATCTTCTACTAAAACTTCAATTCAGAAAATAAAATTTACTGTGTTCACCATATACCTGGCACTCTGAGAACTGCTATGAATGATACCCAAAACATTTTTAATGCAGGGTTTTTGATCTAGAAAGTAACTGAAAGGGTAAAATGAGTGTAACATATGTAAAAATAGTTAAGATATCAGTTACTGATTATAAGTGTCAAATTGCTGATTCATGAGTAGAATACCAGCCTTTTTAAGAGGGCTTAAAGCTGCCCTACATTTTTAATGTTGGAATAAAATTTAAAAAATATCTTAGCTTTTTCTGAGATAAAATTAGGTGATCTTCATGCAAAGGCCTGGTGAAGAGAATATCCAACACCATATAACCACTAATTCACTACTAGAGTGTCAGTTTACTGGGGCACCAGAGCTAACCTGGGGGGTCTTCTAATCTGACTTTTCAATTGAAAGGTGAGGTCACCAAAGTCCAGGTAAATGAGGTTACTTAGCTAGTGTCCCATGTGGATTAGAGGTAGTGCCTGGGCTAAAACCTGTGTCCTAACTCTTAGTTTAGGTGACAATTTGTAGAAAGACTTTTTGTCCTTGTATGTTATAAAGAATGCTTCTAACCCCTTCTCTAAAAATTAGTCAGAAACTTAATATTTGCTCCACTTGAATCTCTTCACTATAAAACCTTTTTGTTCTGAGCATAAAGGGGGGGTGACTACTCAGTTATAGGTTACTTAGCTTATAAACCAGTGGTATCCATCTACAAATCTTACTTCATGCATCAGAGGGCTTATACCCACTACTATCTCAGTACCAGAGCTCTGGGAGTGACAGAGACAAGCAGCTTCACATTTATTCATTTTTAGGAAAAAGTTTATTAAATGATTATGTATCAGAAACTGTCAGTAATGCTGCTTATGAAAGATGTTTTAGTTATCTGGATTCACTACTTCAAAGAAATTTAAAAAAAATTCCTATTTAAATTAAAACTTTTTAAAAAAGATTTTATTTTATTTTTTTTAAGGTTTTATTTATTATTTTTTAGAGAGGGAAGAGAGGGAAGAGAGGGAAGAGAGAGAGAGAGAGAGAGAGAGAGAGAGAGAGAGAGAGAGAGAGAGAGAGAGAAAGAAACACCAATTTGTGGTTGCTGGGAGCCATGGCCTGCAAACTAAGCATGTGCCCCGACTGGGAATCGAACCTGCGATGCCTGGTTCGCAGCCCACGCTCAATCCACTGAGCTACGCCAGCCAGGGCTAAATAAAAACTTTTATATAAATACAGGTGATGTGAATGATAGTAAACAGTATTTGAAAACAAAAGGGATGGACTTTAAAGGCTATAGAAGCACAGGCTGGTATGGCTCAATTGGTTGGAGCATCATTCCATAGACTGAAAAGTTGCAGGTTTGATCCCTAGTCAGGGCACATACCCAGGTTGTGGGTTTGATTCCCAGATGGGGCATGTAGAAGAAGGCAACCAATCAATGTTTCTCTTTCACAATGATGTTTCCCTCTCTCTTGCTCTTTCTCTCCCTTCCTCTCTCTCTAAAAACAATGAAGAAATGTCCTCAGGTGAGGATAAATAAAGAATAATTAAAAAAAGAATATAGAAACCTGTCTAGTTATATTTCATCATACTTTCTGGAAGCTACAAAGTGTGCTTTTATGAAATTTTATTTACACCAGATCTTAAATTAATTCCAGGAAAAGTACTAGATTTGAAAATGGCAACCATGATACCTAACATTTTAAGTACTCACTAGGTGCCAGACAGTAGAACCTGCATTACATGTTTAATCCTCATAACCAACAACCCCACGAGGAAGGCATATCATTAGTCCCATTTTGCAGTGGGAGCTAAGGCAGTAGAGGTTAAAGAATTTATCTCAGATTATAAATATGAGAATATAAACACATGCAGTGTGGTTCTAATGTACAATCTCTTAATGAGCTTGGTTTTTTCCTTCTTATTTGAGACACAAGAAAACTGAGAGGAAGATATTTAAATATGACATAAAAAGGTATCAG